CCCCACCCCCCACTCCCCACCTCCCCTCCCCATCTAGGATCATGCTTTTCCATGAGAGCTTCAGGGTCACATTAGTTATGCCTGTGATCTAAAACATCAGGACTACTACAGCAAAGAAAAAAAGGCAGAGTCTAGCCTACTGTCTCAAAACCCAGGAGCAGATACAGAGATACAGAGTAACTATTGTGTGAACAAGTACAGCTTCATTAGTTACTCTGTCATTGCGGATTTCTTAGATACATATGCCTATCTATCTACATGCACACACGGAGTTGGGGAGATTTTTCTTGCATTAAGCCTAGAAACCTAAAACTTGGATTTCTTACAGTCAGACATGAATACAGTTAAATCAGGATGGTATCTCGGTCTTCTAATGATCTTAGAAAAGCAGGTGATTTTTAATTAAAATGTTTCCATTGTACTTACACAGTATAGCTACTTTATATATTCTAACTTTCAAAAATGTAGTTTTGAAGAAAAAAAAATATGTGGTTTTGGAGGCAAATGCCCCTCTTCATTCCAGATGGGGCTGCCTTGTAAGTTTCTCTTCTATGTTTGTTTTTATCCGTCTATGTTCTCTTTGAAACAAGATAGCTGATGATGTCTAAAACTATGCCAAGCTGTCTTGCTTGGGAGGTTTTGAAGTCAACACTGTGGCATGCTCCTTTGGGTTTATGGCTGTAGATTCATAGAATCTTTGTTAGTTAACTCCATCTATTAAATAAGCCTGAAAAAGGAATTGGATGGTGCTGTATGTATACATGGATGGATGGATGAGACTGTGTGGTAGTGAGCCAGCAGTTCCAGCTCCAAATGGGCTTTCGGTTTTCCTGTTGGTACCAGTTGCTGGAGTGTTGTGCAGGGAAAGCGTATATCTTCACAGTCTGGTATAGATTGGACATCTGGTGTTGTGTAATTTTGGGGAGAGAGAGAGAGAGAGAGAGAGCTCTTGAAATGCTCTATATCAGAGTAAGGAATCATTCCCTTGAAAATAGAACTCTTCGATGTGACCTTTAAGTTAAACCAGCAGGCCTGACCTCCGTGGACGTGTTCTGGAAGAAGCCAGAGTTTCACGTATATGTTACCTTTAGTCTGATGTTCTTGTTGCCCTGAATTACCCTTCTCTGGTTATCAGGAGTCATGTTAAAGTTCCTGGGCAGAAAGTCACAGTGTCACACAGCTTGGTGGTATCAATCCCCAGTGGGTTAGCCACCAGAGAGGTCATAGACTGTGGTACCTTCATGGTTTGGGAAGGACAACCTGGCTCAGGAGTCACAGAGATGGACCTCCATGGCATGTCTCCTGCTTGTCTGCACCGAGTTCATGATTTCAGTGCCCACCTGCAGAGGACAGCGTATGAGTTTCTAATTCTCTTCCCTGTGGTCACCTCCCCTCCCACCCCACTTTGAGTCATCTTTGATTAAGAAACAGTGATGCTCCTTTTAATTGTGCACCTTTTCAGACAGCATAGAAATTCTGTTTTTTATACATGGGGGGAGGGGATGCTTTTGGTGGGAATAGTAATTTACTGTGGGGATGTTTTAAACCATGGACCAGGAAGAAAGATGGTAAGAACCACACAGCAAAAGCCTGAGAGCCACAACTAACATAGAAAAAAGAAGTTTCTGCTCCTTCCCACCTCAGGTTCCTCAACTCAGACTTCACGTGTTCAATCTTTCAACCTTCTTTATTGCTCTTTTAAGACATTTTACTAAAACAGAACTTTTATTCATATTGCTAAAGGTAGGTAATAGCCACACCCCATAATACTGGCAGGTCATAGGTAGTTACACAAGCTGGAGGTTTCCTGTGTCACCCTCAAAGTTCTAAGGGGAATGTGAAGTGGGCACGGCCATCACCAGAATCAGCACGTAGGCTTGCAGGGTGCAGGCACCAGGTCCTGAGGGCATCTTGGGGCTAGTATGCCACAGTCTGGTTGGTAGAGGCTGAGTTAGCGGACCTGCAGAAAGAAGATCTGGCCATTGCACAGAGCTGTCTTGGAGCAGGTTTTGTGGCCATGTCTGCAGTCTCAGTGTATGGGGGGCTGAGTGGAAGGATCTGGAGTTGAGTGCAAGCTTAGACAACAGAGTGAGACGTTGTCTCGAGAAGGAAAAAAAAAAAAAAAAAAAAAAAGATGGCCTGGTTTGACAAAGATAGGCAAATTGAGGCAAATTTGGGCTGAGACCTGAAGAGAGATTTGTTTTTGTTTTTGTTTTCATTTGAATGAGGGTCTCACTGTAGCCAGACTGGTGGTTGACCCAGACTGACCACTGGATTCAGCCTCCTGATGCTTCGATGGCAGGTGTGAGCCATCTTACTGAGCTGAAATACTCATTCCCCATGTACACCAATCATGGATGACTTACAGAGACCCTGAGGAGGGATGCCTGTGTGCTTGATTGTATCGTTCTATAGTCACCACTTCTATCCTTTAACCTTCCTGTCCCTAGACATTGAGTTCTTATGCTCCCTTCCTTTGGTGGCAGATGTTGCAGTTATAGGCAGGTGTCTGTGGTAACTGTAGCAATTATGTGAATGAAGAAAATTTGTGGGCAGTTTGTCCTCCACAAATGGAAACTGTGGTGGTGCCTTGTGATGGGTCACATACAGAAAATGTTTGGCTCTGTGTTAATGTGTACCTTTCTTTTTCTTCTGCAGTGTTTGGAAAGAACAGGATGCTGATCTAGACGTGGAAAAAGTAAGTTGACAAGTACTGTGGGAAGGCAAATGCCTCAGGAATTAGAAAGCATTTCTCAGTGGAAACCTATAATTGCATTTGAATCCATAGTGTTGTTTTATTTTATTTTATATGTATTTATTTTGGGACATGGTCTCAGATAGCCCATGGTGGCCTCAAACTCACTGTGTACCTGAGGATGACCTTGAACTCATCCCAAATGCTGGGATTACACACATGCCCCAGTAAGCTCTATAGATTTTTAAGATGGAAATTGACTTGGAGATAAAGTATGCATACAAAACATAAAGAAAATCCTAGTTCAGTTTGGACAATGATAAAACCAGATGTTTTAGCTCCAATTTAGGTCTCCTTTCCTTAAGTAAAATGGAACAGCTGTGGTCCAGCTGTGTGTTGTCCAGCTTTTCCAGGATGGGCAGTGCTCTCTCTTTAGCCTAGTAAGGGCCCTCCCTGTTAGTCCATTCCATTACCTTTTCCTTCACATGCAAATGGCTAATGCTTACGATGGCCTAGTTGTACCTTTAAATTATGGTTACTGTGTAATAGGTCATTCTTTCATTCAGTTAACTTTTGTATGTGTGTGCCCACTGGATGTTAGATATTATGCTGAACTCAGTTAAGGCAAAAAAAGGATGTGACAGGGACTTGTTTAGCTAATTACATCACCCTGTGATGGAACTAGAGCCGTTCTGGAAGCCTAGAAAGGGCGAGCTATTCAGAAAGCAGTTGGTAGGCTGTGTGAACAACCAGTCCTTCAGTCTTTCTACAAGTGTGGCTGGATCCTTTCTGAATTCTCTTCTCTCTTGAATGGATGTAAGTCATACTCGAAACTCTTTGGGAGTCCATTTCTGCCCAGCCACATTGCCTGGCGTGTAATTTCCATCAGATCTCAGTTCACTCCTCACCCCCTTGGCCCCTTGGGCTGCCACTTCGTCGTCATTGTCAGAAGTGATCTAGAATTAGATCTCATTTTGAATATCAGTGCAGGGGAAGAACCTAAAGCCCCTTTGAATTTGGGTACCATGTTTTCGTTTTAAGTTAAGGAAATAAATTATCTGGGGGCTGGAGAGATGGCTCAGAGGTCCTGAGTTCAATTCCCGGCAACCACATGGTGGCTCAGAACCATCCGTTATGAGATCTGGTGCCCTCTTCTAGTGTGCAGATGTACACGGAAGCAGAATGTTGCATACATAGTAAATAAATAAATAAAATCTTTTTTATAATTTTTTTATTTGAATTAGAAACAAGATTGATTCACATGACAATCCCAGTTCTCTTCTCCCTCCCGTCAATAAATAAAATCTTAAAAAGTTATTTAGATTATGATTCGTAACAGTAGCAAAGTTATAGTTATAAAGTAGCAATGGAATGATGTTATGGTTGGGGTCACCACACCATGAGGAACTGTTTCAGCATGAGGTCACAGTATTAGGAAGTTTGAGAACAACTGATCTAGAGAAATCCTTGAAACACTTCTTACGGAGGCCTCTGGCTGATGCAGAATTTACTTGTATGGTCTACTTCATTCATGAACTTTTCAGCTCATACACACACGAGAGCCTTGGGGAAATAAAGGGCTCTAGTTGAGACAGGACAGAGGACGCCTTTGAACATCTCTGTGCACTTATGGAAGGTCAGTACACTGTGACCTTCATCAGTCAGGCCAGGCCCCCAGTAGCCTGGGACCTTTGGGTGCCCGAAGATACTCTTGCCCAGGAGATGTGGTATTATCCAGACTGTGAGCTTTCCCTGCTCACTCAATTCAGGCAGAGTGAGTCAGGAGGGGCTTGACCCTGTGGGTAGTAACTACAGTAAAGTTACCTGAGGTCCTTTATCCCAGGCAGACAATAGGACCTAGTTAGTGGGGCTACGTGAAGGGTGAAAGAGTTAACCCTTGTTTCAGTTCTTTGAACGTTCTGTAAGACCTTAGACTAATTATTCTTCTTGTAACATCATTTTTTCGCACCACTAAAGTGGTCCCATAGTGTTGTGCATCTTTCATTGCAGCACTTAGGAGGCAGAGGCAGAAGCAGATGGATCTCTGTGAGTTCTAGGCCAAGCAGGAGGATTACGTGGTGAGGCACTGAACATGCACACACCCTCTCTCTCCCTCCCTTCCCTCTTCACCCTACCCTCCCAAAACAAAAAGAGTTGTTCCTTTTTCAGAACTAAAATTATCCATGTATTAAATTTAGAAACACAAATCAATGTATTTTTAACCTTTTATGTAGATATTGTACCAAAATGGGCAAAGGGCTACTAGGGAGAGGGAATCCTGGAGGGCTAGGCTTTGCTGGCTACCTATGCAGGGACATGGCCAGCAGTGAAAGTGGCCAGCAGTGTCGTGAGAGGGTCTGACTAACTGTCCTGTGGGCGTCTCCACATAGTGGGGACTACAGAAGAGGGGTGCTGAGTAACAGAAAGGAAATACTTCTAGCTGCCACTAAAGGGCTCTGCCTGTACCCTCAGTCAGGCACCTAATCACTTGAAAATCGCTTAATACATCCCAGGAGTTTACCCTTTGTAAACCCTTAATTCAGAATCTTTTCCAGTCACTGTTAGAGGGCGGTTGAGCTCAGTGTACCGGCTCTTCCTGTTGCCATTGTTTATCCATGCCACGTCAGTCTGGTACAGGAGTTCCTCCATTGTATAAACAACTGATTGCTGATAACCGCATGAGCAGAGAAAAGCCATTGACATCATAGTTTTTGTCTGTAAAATGGATATTTTGGTTTCTTCTAGTTGTGGGTTTTCTGTGAAGACAGAACTCTGTATGGGCTGTGAACTTTATTTGAAATGCTGAAGCTCACACATAAGTCAGCAGCAGTTCTGAATTACTTGATGTCAGTAGGTGATTGAATGGTGTGCTTTGTGCATGTTATACGTACCTAGTAGTGTATACCCATGGGGACATGGCCCCCACTGTGGTTCCAGGTACTGTGGTTGTAAGGATAAATCTTTCTGCCAGCCTCCCGAGTTCCGCCCTCCACCATGTTAAGGTCCCAAGTAACACACAGAGATTTATATTAGGTACAATGCTGCTGGCCAATGACTAGGATTTCTTACTTGCTATCTCTGTCTTAATTATCAACCATAATTGTTAATCTATATATTTTATAAAGACTTATCTGATCGAGGATGCCAGTGGCATGCGTCCTCTCTTGTCGGGATCACATGGCGGCTCTCCCTCTACTACATTTCCCAGAATCCCCCTCAACTCCCAGTCCCATCTATTTTACTGCCCTGTTGGCCAACAGTGCTTTATTCATCAACCAATAAGAATCATATACACAGAAGGATGTCCCCCACCATTGGTTATATCAGGAATTTCAGCGAAGTGTATCCATCTTTTTCCATAGTGCACTTCACCTTGGAATGGATACAATATTTAAGTCAATGTAGCTGTGCTCCTTCTTCCAGAACACTTTATGAGTAAGTTGTAAAGAAGCAGTGCCATTTTTAAAAGAGCCATCCCATGACACCCCCACCCAAGTTTATGGCTGATCGCTATGGATGTTTTCAAACCTGCCATTGCAGTTGTGCAGTTATTGTAGGAGCTGTGTTCCTTGTTGAACTGCAGGCTTTTGTCAAGCCAGAATCATGATATGTGCTAACCTTAATGCCCAGGCCATAGTAGACCCTTCAAAAATGTTAGCTTCAGGCACAAATGAATGAATGACAGCCAGATGAAAGGGTAACAAGAGCCAATAGAAGCCATTTGGTGTGTGGTGAAATGTTGAAAGCAATCCTATGGTACATTCTGGAGACAATGGCTTCTCTTTCCATCTAGGGCTTTGATTTGTGGAAATCAGGCTTGTTGATAGCATTAGATGGAGATGGGATGATCATTCTTTGGCTTTCTCTCCAGAAGTACCAAGTCAAGCAGACAAATGAATAGCTAATTCTTAAGAATAATGTATCAGAGCAAATCCAGAGATAAAAGAAGTCTCAAGAGCACATTGAAAATATCAGAGTACTTTTATTGTTTGCACTTGATTCTTCTAGCAGTCTGGGGAGGCTCTTCTGAGTGTGGATTCTATACATTTACTACTTTAAGTACAGAAAATGTGTCTTCTGAGAACGAAACTAAATGCATTTTTTGTCTAAAAAGTTGATTAAATCAATTCATTCTGTTTAGTAACTTAAAACCTGATTTAAGTGATGTGATAAAAATAACACCCACTTCAATCATAGCCACTTTCCAGGTATCAGGTTAATTTCCTGGATGGCCTTTGTCTCTGAAGTTTGTTTCCAGCCCCTTCTATGACAGTGATGCCCATGCCACTTTCGTATCTCAGGAAGGTCAAGAATTCTGTGCTGTCCTTCCAGCCATTCACCGCAGCTAGAAAGTGGCACTTGAGACCACAAGGACTGCTGCTTATGTGACAGGCACTGTGGCTTTCCAAAACAAGAGTACCCTTCAAAAGCCTGCAGGAGCATTACTTCCCTTGATCCTGGTGAGACACGTTGGTCTGCACATCCAGAGCTACTCTGTTTTCAATATTTCTTTGTTTTCATCTTAACTCCCAAGGGAAATGAAAAACAGACAAACAAAAACCTGGGTTTTTATAGTGGAACTACTTGTCTTGTGGGAAAAGAAATAATCTAGTTCCAAATAGTTAAGTTTTTTAAATTAGAGACTATGTGTGAAGTCATGCTAGTTTGAAGCCATGCATGTGTGATTGCTGCACAGCTGGTCCAGGGGTGAAAGGCTAACACGTCTTTCTTCAGTTTAGCATAGGATTTCCTGAACTCTGATACTCATCAGTGCCCATGTGGATCATCCAGAGGCTTCACAATGCTAATTTTAGGGTGGCATGCAGGTCTGCCTCCAGTCCCAATGGGCATGGTTTGGGGTGTACTACCCCTCTATGTATGTGGTTGTTGTTGTAGGGAGGTGAGAGAGAGAAGAGGAACTCCAGCATAGTCCCCAGCCTTCTGAGGAAGCTATTACTTCCTGGATAGAGTATGTGGACCACATGCTTGTCCTGCCTACACAT